ACGGAAACTTTATTGTCGCCAATGTTCCTGAATATTCTTAAAATATCCATAAATAAGATTCCAAAGCATCTCAAGAGGTATTGTTATTGTAAATGTTTGTTTTTAATTGTTAATCAAGCGCGCTCAATGTTTATAAGCTAGAAGTATTAACAATGTTCGACTCATTCAACTCATTGGATTAAATTGAGATATTCGCCCAACAGGCCAAAATCAAGGCGTAATTCTTGTGTTTTATCCAGCCGCCTTAAGCTCTAACTTTTCGCCTCGAGCTATTAGCGCCCTCTTTACGCCATTATTATATAAATAACTATTTTAGTTATACTTTATTATTATTACATAATAATAATAAAGTTCTGCAATTGATGGGAGTTGTCCCCAGCTATTATGGCCACCTTGGATTTGACCTTGCCTATGACATTTAAGGTCATTTGAAGATCAGGTCGATTTTTTAAATGGACCCCCATTTTTGACCCCCTAAATACAAACAGTGGAAAAATATAGGTGCGGTGATATGACTTGAAAACCAGTAGTCGTATGAGGAATCTACCGAGACAGTGTTTTAATGATTTTTCCCCGAATATCCAATGGACAGCTTGGGTCTGATCTTAACCATGTGAACAGTGAAGTCAGTTTGTTTCAGGATTATACAGTTTAATGAATTATTAAGATCAAGTTCTAGAAATGGTCAAGGACATATTCAAACATAGAACTTTCTCTTTTATCCATTCCCACGGCCAAAAGGATAGGGTCCAGTTAAAAAAGGGTTGTCCTCCAAGTGACCTTGAGATGTATAACCAAGGTAAGATCCAAAGTCACTATTGGATATCGGGGGAAAAATTACCAAAATAATGTTCCGATGGTTTCCCTATACGACTTCTGGTTTTCAAGTTATCACGATACCTGAATTTGACCTGGACCATGACCTCCTAAGGTCAAGATTTAAGAATGGTCAATACCATATTTGAACGTAAAATGTTCCCCTCTTTTCATTTACGACGTCAAAAAACGAATTGACCTGAAAATGACCTTGAATGTTCCTACCATTATTAGTTCACAAATTATCGTGGAGTTCCAAATCTTTCCAGACACCCTGAATAAGGATATTCTCTCCGATGAAAATTAAAATTCAACTTTTTATATGATCTCTAACGATTTTTAAATCACGTCACAACAAAAAAAGTTATATATTCGTAATATTTCGACACTTTCAAATCCCAAAAGATTTCTTGGACATTTTTTTAGTCCTACTGTACTATAAGTTAATAGAATTATTCCAATCTGAAATAGTAACACCGCATCTATTGTTCCTTATACTAGAGGCCTATAATTATCCTCAAAGAGCAAGAAACCCTTTTTTCAAAATGTATAATTGTATACATTACTTGGAGTAACGACCTTTAATTAGACTTGCAGGGTATTCTTGTTCATTAACCTTTCATGAAGTGTACCTAGAATAGCAGGAGACCTTTATGCAAATTTTGTGTAATTATTACGCAAAATCGTTGATTGATTACGTAGAACTGCAGCGATCAATTACACAGAAAGTTGACATAGGTAGACAGATGGAAATTTGGGTTTATAAAGGGTGGTCAACCATAACGCACGATATTAATTGTCAATAAAGAATGCTTACATAGAATTAACTTTTGGTCCATATTTTCAATGACGCGGAGGCATAATTGAGATTTAATGTGCCGAATTTTCTCATCCTTTAGCTCCTGAATTGTTCTTGGCTTATTGACGTACACTTTTCCTTTTAAATATATCCCAAGAAAAAAGTCCAACGGTGTCAAATCACATGATCTTGGCGGCCAATTGACATCGCCATGACGCGTGTTAACACGGAATTTGTCGCGCAAAAGAGCCATTGTTTCGTTGGCTGTGTGGCAAGTGGCACCGTCCTGTTGGAACCAAATACCGTACAGCTCCATATTCTCAATTGCTGCCCACAAAAAGTCCGTTATCATCTCGCGATAGCGAACAACACTATTCAAGGAAACTGCATGGCCGACCTCATTTTTGAAGAAGTACCTATGACCCGATGACGCCGCCAATCCTTAAACTGCACAATCACTCGTTGTGGATATATCAGCTTTTCAACAGTCACTCGTGGATTCTCATTTGCCCAAATGCGACAATTCTGCTTCTTAACGAATCCACTGTGGTGAAAGTGTGCCTCATCGCTGAAGATGATTTTTTACGTCAGTCTGTTCAACCAACCATACGGCGTATTGACGTGATTTGGACCTTGTAAGTATGTAAATTCAAGTCTTTACGCAAAATTCGCTTCAGTGATGTCCGTTCAATTGTTGAGCACGACGGCGAGTCGAGGTTGACGGCTCTTCTGCAACACTATTGCGAACAGTAGCAATGTTTTCAGCAGAACGAACTGCGTGAGCGTACACATTTGTTTTCACATCTCCCAGAGACCCGGTTTGCTGAAATTTGAGCACAATTCTCCCGATTGTGGTCACATATTTGGTCGATTATGCTAACCAAAAAAATCACGAAGTGGACGAAACGCATTTTGATTTGAACGCCTATTTTCATAAATCGCTTCAACAATCTTAACGCGCTGCTCAATTGTGTAACCTGTTCATGGTTGAATGTGTTAAACACTGGAACAAAGAAATATCAAATAAAGTTGGGCAAAAAAACTTGACGTTAAGGTGTGACTCACAACTAACATGGTGCGTTAAGGTTGGACCACCTTTTAGTTTAACTCATGGGAGCAATTTGCCTAAAACATCTTCATCATGGTGGCGCTTCCGGTTGTACCGTAAGCTCAAAAACAATTAGCTTTAGATACTTCTAAAACGTGAACCTTTTTTGTTGTGGAAATACGAAAAAATAAGATTTTTCGGTCAGTTGTTGTATACAGGGTAGCACAAAAGAGTTATGATAAGTTATTTACCGAAATAATGCTGTAAGTGGCGCCCTCTAGTTTGGCTATAAAAAATAACGGATTCTTGTTTCTCATACTAGAAAACCTCCCTATACCGACTTTTATGCCAAAATCTGGAAATAATTCTCAAACAATAAGGAAAAATAGATAATAAAATTGTAACTTTCACACCCTGTAAATCGCAAAATATCAACTTTTGGACTAAGGTATGTTTGGGTCAATTCACATATTTTGTTCTGAAGTATGTCCAGTTTCGAGGTTTCACAACCTATCGCATACACCCTGTATAATAGATAGTACAGGTTTGCCAAGAAAATTGTATTAAAAAACCCAAAAGGTCAATTTTCAAACAACCTTTCCTATACTCTCATCGTATTAAGCTTTGAAAATGATTTTCCAAAAGTGCCCTTGATTTCGGCTGGTCGGACTCCAGATCACAAAGAATTTGACCTGACACGAACACATCTCATCAATAGCGGCAGCTGCTGGGACAAAGCTAGGCTGTTTGTTGAGGGCTAAACATAACCTCCCCACTCTGAACAAGGCCCAGATAAGACCCAACCTCCTACCTACTGCTCACATGTTTGAGATGCTGCCGGCTCGACTACGTTACTCTACGCTGCTTAAAGGAATTCTGTACGACTGAGCGACGACTCTTCTCTCTCGTCTCAGGACACTTTCGCGCCGACTCTTCTCTCTCGTCTCAAGACACTTTCGCGCCGATGATTTATCTCCCTTCCGCCACTATGTCAACGGGCTTTGATCCTCAGAGCTCTCCTCCGTGATGCCGAGGCGCGATGTGCTTGCCAGACAGGCCAACTTGACTTCGGCCTCCCATCAAAACCGTGTCGAACATCGTACATCCAGAACTGGCCGATACAAACGCTCCTTTATTCCTAGGGTATCGAGATTGTTCCACAAACCTTAGGCAGTTCAGAAATCTGATTAACGAAGCTTCTTTGAGCTCCTCATAGCAGCCACGGTGCCCTGGTATTTAAGCTTCTGCCTACGCGGCTATTACAGTATTAAGAAAGAAAAACTCGATAATTAATAGTATTGGAGATTATATTGGACTTTATATTGCTTGTATACTCCATGAGGCTCGTACCATAGCATAATTTCAGTTGGGCATGGAGTAAATTTGGTAAACTAATATAAATAAGTGCAACTTGTATACGGATTTTGTGTCAATGGCAAGTAAAATAAAAGAAAAGCTTTACCAAAAATTGCATGTTGTTATTTCACCGTCAAAGGCATCAAAGTATCAAATAAGACAAAGTCGTATCTCGTAAATCTATAAAAACATATATTTGTTACAAATGATGTGGTACCAAAATTTATATAGTAAGTAGAAGTAGTAGTAGTAGCCGCTTTTAACGGTCCCTTTATCTCAAAACTCAGAAATTTGTTAGTACAGTATCTGGAAATCTGTTTTTTTTTTGCGAGGTAGACAGCATTTGACAAAATTAACCTTATTTTCATTGCTTAATGCGTTACGGAATAGTACTCGTAAGTGGTAATATACTTTTGCTTAATAAAATTTTCAGTAGGATCTTGGATTAACATGCGATCTTTCTAAGAGAGTAATGAAGATGTGAGATAGCCAGTTAAGCATTTCTCGGTCACAACAGGTACCATCTTAAATGGGCAACGCGCAGTTAGAGTTAATTTAGATGTGGTGGTGGCGCTGGTACCAAAAAGGAGAAACGCGAAAGAGCTGATGAAATGCACCCAACTGCGTTGGATGTAGATTTCGCATGAATTAATATTTAACGTCAATCCTAAGCAGCTTTAATTATTTACTGTATTTCAATCTGATCTGCCATATAAATTTTATAAAGTATGTGCATTAATGATTTTCCAAGTTGCAGATGTGCTGACTTAATGTTAGTCCTCGACTTTGTGATTCAGTCTCAAAATAATCAAGCTCATAAAACATGAGTGAGTATAGAGAGAGCAGACTTGGGTAGTATCCGAATACTCGGTGGTTTGAATCCTATTCAGAATATTTTTGTGTTTTTGATATTTGGTATTCGAATGAATACTTTTTTGGTCAGCACTAGTTTTGCATGTGGAAATAAAACAACACGGTAGGTAGTTTTAAATGACTTTATTGTTTTTCGAAGTATTCTCCACGAAGATTAATATACATCTGCATGCGATCGAACCAATTTTCGCACTTATTCCACTCGTTTTCTGGCAGATCCAAAACGGCATTTTTGAATGCGTCAACTGCTTCTTCTGGTGACTGGAACCTTCGACCACGCAGTCTGTTTTTAATTTTCTGGAAAGTAAAGAAAACGTTAGGACTTAGATCGGGACTATATGGAGGATGGTCCAGTAATTCAACGTTTTCTTCCGTTAAATACTGCCTTGTTCTTTGAGCTATGTGCGAGCTTGCATTGTCTTGGTGGAGGATGATTCTTCTTTCGGGGCTGATTTTTCGAAGCTCGGTAATGACTTTTGGCAAACAGATGGTGGTATACCAATCCGCAGTAACAGTTCTTCACTCATCAAGAGGAATTGTTGCAATTTAACCCGCTTTTGACACAAATGTCGCGACCATCTTTTTCGAAACACTTCGAGAACGGATGACTTTTGTTGGCTTTTCTTCACCTTGGAACACCCAAACAGCTGACTGTCGTTTATTTTCTGGTTCATAACAGTAAATCCACGATTCATCATCACTAACAATGCTGTACACATTTTTTGAGTTTCTGGAATTGAAACGGTCAAGCGTTTTTTGACACCAATTAACCCTGGCTGCTTTCAGTCAACAGGTGGGGCATCCATTGAGAAACTATTTTTCTTACTCCTAATTCTTCATGTGAAATTTTTTGAATTGAGATCTTTGAGATCTTCAAGGACGCCTCAATCTCGCGATATGTCACATGTCTATCTTCAATGATGAGTTTGCGCACAGCATCGACGTTTTCCTGGGTGACTGCCGTTTTTGGTGCACCCACCCTGGGATCGACGCTAAGACCCACCCGTCCACGTTTGAATTCTCCATACCAACGGGAAATTGTCGACTGATGTGGCGCTTCGTTGCCGAAAACAGACAGTAACTCAGTAAGGCATTCTTGTTGCGGTAATTGTCTCTGAAAGTTGTAATAAATTATGGCGCGAAAATGTTCTCGGTTGAGTTCCATTTGTCTAATGACTTGGTGACACTTAAAAATTCACTCTAGTGAGAACACTGCACGTATTGTTGTGAAACTTTTAATTTAAGTTTAGGAAAAAGTGAGGTTAAGATTCAGTACTGACGTTCGATTCGCGCGGTCTACTATGTTTCTATATGCAAAACTTAAAGGACATCCCTCGTATTTTGGATTCTAGATACGGCTTCTGAATCCCAATATTTGAATACCCACATTGTATTCAAATTCCGGTATTCGAATCCTGTTACTCAATATCCCGTGAGGCTCTACTAAACTTAAGCATGTTAGAACGCGTTCGTAAAGTTATTTTGTTTGTGTGGACGGCTTCTGAATCCCCAATTCCGACAGATTGCTTAAGGAACGAGATTACATTAAGAATGCACTTGTGCTTGTGCAGTATTGCCTCTATATTTCATAATAAATTTTAATACCTGTTATAACTTGTATGGCATACCAGATAAAGTAGAGTATATATATAGGGTGTTTCAGAAAGACATGTCAATATTTCCAGGGTAGAAAGTATATCCAAAAATAACAAAAAAGGTTCTTATAGATAAGAGGAAATAGTAAGCAATAATCACACAGAGCTTTTCAGCCCAAACTAAACCAGGGACGGAGAGACTGGAGCCCCTGAACGCCTACTATGAAATATTTACTACGGCACTGGCCTTTCTGGAGAAAAGAAGTGCATTTTATGAAATGCCACTTTAGGAATTTTTTCCAGATCGCTCGTTTAAGAAATGTTCAGGTTTGAATGCCTAACCCTAAAAATGTTTCCAATTGATTGGTTTTACAGTTTTACTACTACTTACTAGTTGTGATTTTAGACACACAGAAAGCGCTTACATGGGTAATACCAGAAGAAGTATACCATGAAAACTAGTGTCCCGCACAACGTTTAATGAATAGTAACCGTCTACTCTACTGATTGAGGATAAGACACGCATGTTTTTTCAATTAATGTTGTAATGAGGTGCCATAGCTTCCTTCACATGCAACATAGTGTCCCCAATATCAAGCTTCATGGCGTTTTCACAATAGGAGAGACTGAACTGGTTGATAAAAATATTTTACGTTGTTACTTCAAGTATTCAAACATAAATATGTCCAACACGTGCGATCTGACAAAAATTCCTGAAGAGACAAAAACCATGTGAAATTGATTTTTTTTTATAAAATGTACTTCTTTTTATAAATAGACCAGCGGCGTAAAAAAATATTCAGTATTAGAGGTCCAGGTACCCCAGTTTCTACATCCCTGGTTAAGTTTTGACGAGGAAGCTCTGAGTGTGTTTATTGCTGTTAATGTGCTTGCTGAACGTCTAGAATCCTAACTCGGTATCTCGATCCACACCGTAGATACTTTTTTCAAATTTCGTAAATTAAACTTCATTACCTTGTACCTCGGTAGAGGAGCATCTTTGGACTCATACTCATCGGTACTTTTTTTGTTATTTTTGGAAGTGCATTCTACCCTCAAAATATTAACACGTCTTTCTGAAACACCCTGTATAAAAAGGTAGGCTTATTATTTGTGTAGGTACATTATGTAAAATTCACATATTCTCTTATTAAGTTTTATTCTATTTTCTATAAATATCCACTAAAAATTGAAGAATGTTTTTTATTATACAATGAATTTGTTTAACGTCACTGTTATACGTGGATCAGAATTTTAAGTTTTATTTAATACGTTCGTGTTTTTTTTTTGTATATAGGTATTTTTATAACTTATGTACATAAATAATAATCTAGTTTAAAGTGCGCATATGTATTATTATTGGGAGCTTTCAAAAAGTATTCATATTTAAATGAAACCAGGTATTCAAAACAGCGGTATGCAAACATTTTTTTCTGTGTAATCGAACCCTGAGTGTCCAAATACAATTTAAAATGCAATATTCGTATTCGAATACCGAATTTCAGTATTTCACCAAAATTAGAGAAAGTTGGTGATTGTCAGATTTTTCATCTATTTGCATTTTTATGATCGATTTGAGAATTTTCTGTGATCATAGATTATCGAAAAACCTCTTAACCATAAAATTGCGGGTTTAGATTCTTGGATTTATGCCTGGTTAAAGCTGTGAATTGTTGGTCGCTAACTCATCATAACTACGTCCTCTCATACAGAAAACCTCGTTCTTGCAAGGACGGTTAGTAGCCACAGCCTAGTATGATTCATCCCGCTTGCGTATGCATGTGTCATAAAGACAAAAAAACGATAAACCGATCCATACGAGAAAAAAACTCGAACAACCCTCTTTGATACGACAGTTTCCGGTTTGGGTCCAGCACATCGGTCTGACTGCCACATCTTCTCACGCTTCGAAATAAATGGCCCACAGTGTCCCAGCATAATGAGGATCGTTATAATAGATGTTTTTTCTTCTTTTAATTATATGCAAGGTAGAGATGGGCACACAGCGAAAAAAATCGATATCAGAATGATCGATATTTCATAAAATAAAATCGGGAATGATACTATTTTCATCTGTATTGCCAATAATACTCAGCTAAGTCTAGGGCTGGTCTCTACAAAGCCCAGATAGGAGCTAGCCTCGAGTACTGCTCACATATTTGGGCTGCTGCCGCCCCGACTACATTATCTATGCTTCGATTACTTTTTTGTAGCGGACAGTCTCGGGACCTTTTCGCACCGACGGGCGGTCGGTCATCCGATTTTCTTCAACTGCTATGTTAACGGGCTTTGCTGCTCGGAGCTCTCTTCCATGATGTCGCCGCGCGATGAGCCTGCCAAACAGACCCGCCTGATCGGCCTCCCATCCTAACCATGTCGAACTTCCATCCAGAACTGGCCGATACGACCGCTCCTTTGTCCCAGTTTGCCTGAGAGGAGGCTTTTCCAGTTCTACTAACCTTAGGTAGTTCAACAACCGAATTAACAAGATGCGGAAGCCCTTAAGCATAGTGGGTCTCCTGAGAGGGAAATGTCATCTAAATCGACACATGAGAATCTTTTGTAGTCGTTGGGAGTGACAGTCATTTTCCAACTGAGGTCTGCTAATAGGCCTATTACCTCTAGGGATGCCGGATTCGAGATGTGAACCAATATGGGTAGGCCTCTGCATTCTCTGAGCAAATTTGAAATTAAGGAAGTCTCAACATAAACATTTCTGTCTTAAGGAAGCTATTTGACAATTCTTGACTCCCAAATAATGCATTCTCACACCAAAGTGAACTCGTGAACTGTGAATTACATAGTAAGGGCTTCTTATTTTTCATACCTCTCAGCCCCCAACCCGACTCTCGAATCCTGGGAAATTTTATCATGATACGATATGTCAGATTTGACATTTGAGTGGGCATGTGCCAAGACGATACATTGGGGGTTAGGTGTCGGCCATTAAGTAGTCCTAGCTTCAAATGAAATGGAATCCGAAACCAATAACTTGAAAAAAAGTTATCAATTATTTCTGTTTAGATATGCAATCACCGTATAAATGAATACCGATGTATTGATACTTTTTTGAGTTTTGTAGAGATTAATTTTGGCCAGCAACTGTAAAGATCAATTTATTTAACCTTGTGTGGTTAATTACTGGTTATAACAGATATTTTTTTTCAGCAGAGAAAAGTTTTTGTGAGTACTGCCTACCGTCATGATTCTATTTTGCGGACTGCCTCTCGTTTGACGCAACCTCTAGTTCGTCCCCTATTCAACCTACAAACCCAAAACTATCCAAACGTACGTAAAAATCGAACATAACGAAAAACCACAAAACAACAAAGAGGGCTCAATGTGCTGTGAAAAAGTCGAAGAAAGAAGTAGCGTCACGTCAACTAAAGCATAGTTAAAGCTGGACATTATCAAACCTTAAATTAACTGATAGGGGTTTTAAACTTCAAAATAGTAGCCTAATTTGGATGTAGGTACTTTTCGATAGATGACACACATATTTATGAAATCTTAGAGTCGACGCTCATTGTTGATGGTCAATACGATCATGTCTCTTACTATATTTATACAAAGTGCTTAAGTCAAAAAGCATGCAAGTGATCTTATCAGGATTAATCTTCAACATGTATCTCTTACAAAAATCAGTTACACTGGCAAGATCGGACCTAATTAACTTTATATGACACTCCATCCAGATGGGAGATGGCAAAATGAAACAAAAGTTGCTTATCATCTGTGTAAGTTTGTATAGCACAATGTTCCACACATGAATGTAAATCAAAAGTATATATTAAATACAGCAAAGGACCTAAAACAGACCCCTGAGGTACACCTAAAGAAACAACCACCAAAGATAACACCTTTGTCTTTACCTTTTGTTTACTGTTTGTCTACTATTCCGTGTCAGCGTCAGCGCTCTGCTATTGTCAGGCTATGTTGTCTTCTTAAATTGTAGGAAATTTCAGGCTGTATAATAGTTGATGTCAATCAAAAGTATGAACAATTTGATGCAAATATATATTTGTAACATAACCTCAGAATAGAGCGCTGACACGTAAGAGTAGAAAACTATGCAAATCAACGAGGCCATAAAGGCGTCCTATAATTGTAGAAAAGACTGACAATACGGTCCTTAGACGACATCTCATAAGAATGTTTTTTTAAGATTTTGGAATATCTGGATCTATGTTTCTTGCCCATCTCTACACAAAGTGCTTGGGCGTAGTCTATAATACCTCTTTTATTCTCTTTTTAATTAGATGCAAGCAAGGGCATGCATACGTTAACCAAGAGACAGTAGGTAAGCCTTTCAGGGTAGACAAAAAGCATTTTTTACCTTTAAATAAATAGTTCATATTCGGTATTTGTTCCCTATGCGACGTACCTACACTTCGCTTTGTTATAACGAATGGCAAAAAAAGTTGGGATGCAGCGTGCTTTAATCATTTTTTGTGAGGGTGACTATTTACGTGTAAAGTGGTTAATGTATATGTTGCTCCGGATTTTATTACACCCTTAATGGGTTCAGTTTTGAATTTTTTACCAGGGAACAATCTGAATAAAACAGTAT